AACGAGCACCTATTGGCTGTTCCGTGTACACAAGTGCTGCTGGCGTTACAACACTTTAAAAATCAACGCTTTCAGTGGTAGCTCTGCAGGTCTCTGCTATACTGTGCTCTACACAAGAATGCTTTGAGGGTACTCTGTGGAAAGGGGATGGTTGTCCTCAAGTGTAATAGGTTGTTTGGTCCTTTCGCGGGTCGCTTGGTCGGTCGCGTCGGAGTTCACTCGCGGACTTGCCCAGCCTCTGGGGAGTTTATGTCCCGTTCCCTGCCACCGCCTGCGCTCGAATCTCCTCTCACCGCCCCCTTCGATGCTCCTACGTCTCGACTCGAACTGAATGTCCACAGTTGTCCGCAACGCAGTTGCGCTTACTCGGCCAGGCGAAACGCTACAGTCGAATCAGCGGCAGAGAGCTAAGAAACAGCCAGATCCAATGGGTCGGAAGAATGAGCAACTTGCGTTTGGACTAGGGGTAACGCTATGGTTCGACAAAACAGCGGACAGAACGACTTGCTTAGGTTCATGCTATAAAGGCAATAAACCCGTAAGCTGCCGGCAAAAGGGAGTCCTATCTCGCCCCTCCTGTTCTGTGTGGGTCCCTTCTGTAAAAGAGGCGCTTCCTGCTATGGCCAGAGGAGGTGAAGGCACTGTACGTAACTTCCACACGGCCGGAAGCAGCAGCAAGAGCAGAGTGCAACTAAATCTCGAAATGAGGTCCTTGCTTGAGTCACGCATCGACCTGCTGACCCTGCATGTCTACTATCATCCTGTATGTCGCCTCGCAAATAGTACTAGTAGAAACCATAGTCGCAGTGGCAGCATCAATGGTGATTACGGTAGCAGCAGTAGGTAAAGGGGCATTTGTTCTCAAAAGAGAGACTTTAACCTGTACAGGTCAGAATTCTTGAGCAGCTATGAAGTCGACCGCGCGTACTTGGACCTTGCGGCTCACAGTATCTGGTTGGTGTGACAACCTGAAATCGTTCGATAGAGAGAGTACTTTCTGAAGTTTCGCATAATGAGAGCTCATAAAGTCGTCGGAATCGTCCTCAAGTAAATCTTGAAACATGTTTGCGGGTTCAAATTTGCTCACACGATGTATACTGATCGGTTTTTAGACGCTTCGATCAGCCTGTGGCTGTCGGTAATGGACGTTTACCAGGAGTGCTCCCTCCTAGCTTGACAAAAATACCAGCTATAAACGAAGGCATAAGTACTTAGTACAACAATAGCTTAATTCTTAAACGTTAACTAAATAAAATATTCGAAATTATTAGTAAGTTTAGAGCAAATACAAGGTGGCTTCAAAAGAAACATGTTTTCCCATCACGGAGCAACTATATAACTTGGTTTAATAATAACAACAATTCGTCGATGGGCGCTAGACGCTGGAAAACAATATAAATGTCCATTTGATTTTAGTCAAATGGTCTCGCCTTGCCAATTATAGAATCAGAAATTGTGAGCTCTTGTCCTTTTCTAGAGTTTATCCACAAATATTCAGTTCCTTAACCTAAGCCCGATCCCGACGAACAACTGACATTACCAGAATATTCCAATCGGCTTTTTAACGTGGTAGTTGTCCTTTAGTTGTCTTCGCCTCATGGTACCGGCGTCCGTTAAGCTTCTTTTTTCCAACTACACAAAAGAACCGTTAACGACACCGTCGCTGAATATCACATACTGTTCTATAGACAGGAGACACACTAACTACCGACTTTGGCGGCTGCCGTTTACAGAGGAAACCTAAGAATATACAGGGATGCGATTATCCTTATCTACTTGATTAATATTCAATCGGACGACTTAGGTTTCTTTTTGCTGTCGCCACAGTAGCCCATAGCCTGGTGATGGTCCTTTGGCCTGTCACGCGCCGTGACAGAAGAAGCGACGATTTCCGTCTGGCCGCTGCTATTCGCTAGTCGACCCTGCTTCGTATTTCAGATGCTACTCAAAGCAGGCGACAATGGCGCTTGATCAGTACTGAGGATGCTGGCTAGGTCTCCATCCGTCTACAGCAGAACACACATTTATTCGTTAAGCGCTGTACTGAGTTTCCCGTCGCTCTGTTATATTCTTCCATTCATCACCATTGCGTTCTAAAACGTTGCCCATAAGTTATTACTAGAGATAAATTGTACACGTAAGTAATATAGAAACTATATAGCCTGAAATACAGAAAACAAGTTATACTATATAATTATATGAAGAAGACACGATGCGCTATTCGAATAGAGAATACAGATTGACGTTTTCATGGGACCGTGATAACTTGAAAGATGAATGGTGAAATCGAGGTAAGCTCACATTCAGTACGGTAATCTTTCCAACGGGTGTTAGCAGGGAAATACGCTTGATAAGCGTTAAGTAGCTCCCTGGCCTCATTTAGTAACCATGACCCATTAAATGCATGTTATGGGTCACATTTACATATATTTGTTATTGTTATCTATGGCTCGAGGGATCTTTAAAGCAAACGGAAGCAATAGCATACGTAACAATTTTTTTCTTGTCAAATCAACATCCGAATCGGACATAAGTTACTATAACGGTATCTCTAAAGGCTTCAGACAACAGCACGTTGATTGTTGTCCATGTCCACATAAAAAGCGACATGTCGGCGCATAAATCACAAAAAAAAACTTTGCTATCTACTACGAAGAGCGAACAATAGGGTCTCAGCTAAACTAGATACTGCAGTATTGGCGGGACAATGCTATAATTTAGAAGTCGGATTTAGACTTTTGTATTCATAGCGAGACACTATACCGTTCGATTACCCATTTTCACGTTTAATTGTGGTTTATCCTAGACGCGTCCCTCAATGTTTTGGATTCTACGCCTAGGCCTGTGTGTGCGATATGCTAGATAGAAGATTAGTCACAGACTCGAACAGGAACAAAACCTATTAGCACTACTAAGCATTGGCCTTACCTAGCACCTAGTATCCTAGGACGAACAAAAGCAGTCTATTTCTAAAATAGTACAGATACCTGTAAAATCGTCAGTAATATTTTTTCCTACTTAAGCTTTTTTCCTACGTATTTAATACACGTACACATACTCCAAGCATTATAGATAGTTTAAACGTATACCGTATACTAGCGCTTCACTGATCCGATACTTCAGGGCATTCTCGCTTAACGTCGTTCCGTTCAGTTATCATAGATATCCATGTATAAAGAACAGTTCTACTTATCGATAAACTTAATTTTATGCAAAATCACGGATCAGAGTAGCCCTTTTCTAACCTTAGCTGACCAACTGTACAATACAAATTTTTCATAGGTCTGACGAAGCCATGCCTTATTATTATCTGAGTGTTATCCATCTACTCTACATTACGTTTAGAAATTATATTCCGCAGCGGGATCGGTAGTAGATAACACGCGTCTATCGATGAATTAAATTTAATCGATATTCATCAATATTTATTATCTTAATATAAATATCTCAGTATTTGTAGATATTGCACACGTCATCGTTCGTCTTGTAAAATGCGTGATGCTCACGGAAGATTCAATCTTAAACAGCTGTTAGCCAGGCGCGGTTCTATATACTTATTCAAACATCGACTGAAAATCTGGCACAGGCCAACTGTTTGTATTCCTACTGTGGTTGCTCTCTTGGACCCTGACGGAGTACTCGGCGTCTTAAAACGCAACCCACATGGTTTCTGCTTGCGGCGTCCAAGCAACAACAACAACAACAACAACAAATTATGAACGTTTCGAGAATCTTTAACGGAACTTCTTGGGACTTCTAACGGACAAATTGCCCACTAACACGCATTCGTACTCGTCGCGCGAATATCTCACTATGCCTGTGTGTGTCACCCATTTAACGTACGCTTAAAAGCTACTTTGTCCTATACCCACTAATATAGAGCGATACGTAATTAACTTACTTAGTAAACGGCCAAGTTGTTCGGTAACCCCTCAATGCCGCACGCAGAGGACAAACGTTTCAGACTGTTTACTGCGGCCAGTAGCCTTTAATCGAACCGTTCATTCTTTTTGTAACGCAATGAACCTCATTGTTGATTCATATGACTGTACGAAGCAGCAAGAGATGCCGCTGCTGACAGCTAACTCCTATTGCTTTTTATTGTTCTGTGGACATCTGAGCTTCTTGAGAGCGATGTTGGGTGGACGTTAACACTGGTTGTTGACGAACTCTCGTATTCGCAAAATGGTCAAAGAAAGGGACCATTTAAAAAAGCCTTCGATTAAAAGTTCGACTAAATCGTTACCTCCAATTCTGCCGCAGACAAATGCTGCGTAGCATGTGTGATAAAGCAAGTTTTGTATCACAGAATCGCCCGATGTTCAAGCAGGTGAAGACACTATCGTATGAGATAGGATCTTTTGTTAGCTAATTTTCTGGCCACGAGTAGTCTCTGAGGCGTCAAGCCTTTAAAGAGACGAACATCGTAAACATAATACTTAGTATGTCTGAAAAATTAATATTTTCAATCTAATCAATGACTGGGTGTGTAAGGATTAAAGAAACTATTTATGTTTCTTTTATAAGTTTGCGTGCTATTCGGCCATACAGTACTTCATAGACAATCTACTTCGGAAGGCAATCAATAGAAGATAATTTCTTCAACGAAGGACCTTTTTGCCAAACTGCGTGCTTTTGATATACGCTCAAGCATCCACACAAACGTCGAGCGAAGCCGGAAAGATCGTACGATATAAAAAGCGTATGAGATTCATCAACTCTTTCAGCATTACAAGACCATGACACAAGAGCTTAGTTTTCTTCTCTCTCATGCAAAACAAAATCGTTAGCCTACAAACGCACAAGAGTTAAGACCGGTGCTGAAGGATTCTAGTGTGCGCTAAAGGGGTCTCGCCGTCCGACGAGAGCGCCCGGATGAGCGACTCGAGCATCGACCGCTTTTACCGTTGTGTGTTTTATATAGGAAAAGAGAAACAGAAGACTGGAATAAAAAACACTCTGCCACCAGGCTAAAGCAATCAGTTCATACATTAACTTGTGGAAGCGGTTTGTGTTCACTTAGATGCTAATCTAGTTACTTAGGTCAGTGCCGTACGCCAAGTTGAATCGCAGGTAAGTTACAGTTACACAGTTGGGTCCTTAGACGTTTCTTGTTCTTTTGACAATATGTTAGAAGAACAAATGCCCATCAATGGGCATCCGCTTTCGTGCTGTTTGCTATGTCGATTGGCTATTGCCTCCATGTATATCTGTCTATGTTCCACTTGGTTTCAGTTCACAGTATTTGGTTAGGCAAATGCGGTTTGCCCCATGCATTCCATAATAATGAAACCCTAGCTGGATCGCCCAGACCAGTGGGGGGTATCTACTACCGTTCTCCCCAGGCGCTCTAATACTCCCTCTTCTCATTGCACGATTCTCTTGTTGATTCATGCTCTCTTCCTGTTTGTGTCGCGCCTCTACCCCCCATTCTCCTCTTTCACTTTCTCTCTGTACCCTCATATCCTGTAGCTCCCGGCGGTTCTTTACCTTTGGAACATCGGAAAACCGTGCACGTCGCGACGTAAATGCATGATATGTGCCTGTGCATTTGCGTCTGCGTGCCTCCGTATGTGTAATGTCTATGCGTGTCTTTGTGCTCGCTCGGGCCATTACTTGATAAAGAGTCGTTGGTTCGCGCTGCTGTCGTCGTTTGCGTTGTCGACACCGTCGTCAGCAGACCATTTGCTTGCTGTAGCTGATACCACGTTTACCGTCACTGCAGTAGCGGCCACTGTCACCGTTAGGCCATCTCAGCTACAGAGATCATTCATTGTATGAACGAATGTGCGTATTGGTTGACCTATTGTAGAGCCATATGCGGAAGAGTGCCCGATTGGTGCCAGGCCATATGGGAAAAACTATGGAGGCCTCGCATTCTCCCTGGGGCAGCAAGCGCATACAAACGAAAACGCGCAGGCCTATTGAGATCGAAGGCCATTGAAGGATAGAGCAGACAAGCGCCAATAGCTGTTTTTGCAGTTTCGGTCGTTACGACGTTGAGATCGAGTTCGGTGGGCGCGATACGCATAATTGAACCTGTAGAGGCTGTAGGACAAATGTATTTATTTTAATTGGACAAGATGAGGGTAGGTAGTAATGCAAGCGGCAATTTTTACCCAGACTTTACGGACTACGATTAATTAGGCGAACCGAACTAAAGTTACAGTTGGAGTTTGGCCTAATGGTTTCAGCTATCAAGGCGTTTGCAGTGTTCCCTTTATATAATCAATACTAGAAAGAAGTTTTCCGTAACCAATGATTAGCTGACCTCTCTATGATAGCTTTCGGTACTTGTGTGTTGCATCGTTCTAAAGGCCTGTCAGGCAATGATGTCCGATACAACAGAAGTAGAGGTTCCATAATTCTGGTGTTGGAATACGGAAGACTATAATGTGCATATGCTCAAATTTGGACCTAAGCCACCTCTGCGTTTTCCAATTAGTATACAAATACGTTACCACTGCAACATCGCGGAAGCATAACGTTTGTACTGCGCGTCCCAGATCTAGGATAGGCTCGGTTTCCATACAAGCCCAAGCCAACGAAGCTATATAAGCAGAAGCATGTATTATGCGTAATACTAAGGGCTAATTAAGAGGCGGGCAGTACTTACCGTCTGGATTGCTACGATGCAATTTTTTCATCTTTAAATAATTGTCTAACATTTCGATATCGCAGTTCGCAACGCCGAGCTATCTTAGATGATATACAAATGCTTAACGAGATCTAACCAACACGTACTGACGATGTTTTTGTCGCTTTTTCCTCGCAAGTGTTATAGAAAGCCTGTCCTATTTAAGAGATTTTTTGTCGTGATCAATCGATTGATTAAGTGTCTAGTCTATCTAATAATGGTAACGATCAACTATAGAGGATATGTTTCTATTATAATGAATAGTCACTATGCGTTCTTGTTAGTCTAATATGAATAGGGAAAAAGCGGACAATGCTGTTCACATTCTAGCCAGGCTTATTTTATATGACTTACGCGTACGTATGCTTAAAGACGACCAGTGAGAATGGACCGATCAACCGATTTTCCAATGTAAATAGAATGTTGCACTAGAGCTGGCTGTCGCTCGTATTACGCTCTTCAGTCGTATGCATGGCCTCACCCAAATTCCCATCGCTCTCAACGTGACTAGACGACTCTCGTAAATGCTTAAGATGGTGCGGGAGCACTGCAGCCTGCGCAGCCCGCGGAAGACGCAGGTACTCTGGTTAGTGATGGTCTTCGCGCGTGCCGCAGCATCGAGATAGGTCCTCACCAGCATTCCTTCACTGCTGAGTCGGCTCGACGACTAACAAATATAGCCCTCTGCACACGGGCGTTTCGTCCCGCAACTATACTGGCAGACACTCTCATAGCCACAGGGCTAATTTATGGGGACACATATGTCAAACCAATGGGTACTACCGCCTCCAAGTGGTACCCCAATAGGATACTTCTCCTGACGCCGACGCCACCCCACAGCAATTCCCCGCGCACATTGGAAGGACTCGTTCCATGGCTGATTGCTCGCACCGGGACGTGGCGGAGACCCGTTTCACTTGAGTGCCACAATTCTTCGAAACTGGGACTACGCCCTGGGAGTTGGAGTTTTGACAAAGCGCGACAGGGAAGCGACAAGCGCGGAAGAACATTTAGACGCTTAGAAATGCATTTTTTAGAATGCTAGTTCAAAATGTGTATGATGTTTTTTAGCTAGGTATCTGAAATACCATAAGCCAACGGTATGATATTTATGGCCGTAACATACGTCGTTAACGTGCAGCAATCAAGGAGTTCCGCTGTACTATGCCCATTATATTCACTGCCAACTAAGCTGCCGTTTCTTAATAATAATTCTAGACGAAACAAGACAAGCCCAGAAAGATGGACCGGAAAGTACAATAGGATCGCGTTATCCAAACGTTTAGTGCGATTGCATGTTAACCGGCTGTCTCTGTGCTAATAGCATTATTTGTTTTCCTAAAGGAAGTTCAAATCCAGCGGTGGGATAGATGTGTTTAAATAAAACTGCGTTATATCCGCACGGTAAATGGGCGAAGTTGGCCTTTACTAGAGGTTTCTCTCTATTGTTGGTAACATACTAATCTGTCAGCTTCGATATGCAGGTACAATTTAAAGCGGGAATTATGACGATTGACACACGAGATCGGGGAACTGAAAAAGGGTTGCTGCTATAGCGGTAAAAGGGGTCATTAGCAGATCGTGGCGTAGGATTCAAGGATAAACAGTTCGGTCTGTGTTTCTCTAAAAGTCACTCGTTCTTTGTGAGAGCGAGGCGAACATAGACCACTTCGGCGATGGTTATTATGTAAAGCGAAATTCTTCGAAAGTAAAAGTAGCGCAAAGTCAATTATGGGGTTCGGCCTCGAAGTGCTTCGTTGAAAAATCAAGGTCAACTACCCTACAGGAGGATTCGATGTGTCCTTTTTATTCTTTTTCGCCTCCGCTGTTGTAAGCTACCTTCCGATCCAGCCACTCGAGTTACATGTTTCTAACATATTGTACTGAAGCTTCATTTTATTCGAAGCTCTTTTGCTGAATATGTGAACGATTTTATATCTGGAAAAAACGGAGGCTGGGGGTGGGGAAGATAACCGTCCATAGCTGCTCAGTTACTAAGTAACTGAAGCGTAATTGCCCATATTCGCAAAAAAAAGCATTGAATTTCACTTTCGTAATCACATACACCATCTATTTGTTTTGCCTCTTAGGCCGAGATAGAAAATGCGTATGTATTGCTCGTATAGAAATCATATTTAGAAAACATCATGGGTTCCATGGAGGATGAGCATATGGCTCGGTGAAAATGTGCTGTTTGCCACCATACAACATATGGGGGAAAATAGCGCAAATCGCGGTCGAATACGTTAGGCAGACGACAGTATCGATTAACTTACATGTGAACAGAATTTGCGGAAGAAGATTTACCCTCCATGGCATCATTGAGACGCATATACTTATTCTCCGATTGCTTCGAACAGCATCAGGCTTATACGTGCGTAGCTGGTAGTCGTCCAGTCGGTTATCATCAACACAGAACAATACAGTTATCGCTCACAAACGGCAACGCCAGCGTCGGCAACGTTATATTGCGGTGCGGCGCAGCGCAGCGCGGGACAGAGGTTTCATTCGTTATCTTCAAGCTAGAAGCAGATGGCAGTTGTGAAGAAGGTGGTTTAGCGTTGACCTTGATAACATTAGGCACACAGATATGCACACACTAGTCGTAGAAATAAAAGCACACTGAGACGTAATATTCTTTCTATGCTAAAGTATGAATACCGTTATTTGGTTCCAATGATAATGTTATAACGAGAACAAAGAACTCAGCAGGCAAGTGAGGAGGAACCATAGCCGCCTCAATGGGCATGGCGGCAAAGGGCAAAAAAATAACAGCGTTTGAGCGTAAATACGCGCGCAGACACTTTAAAATGGGTGAGAAAGAGGAAAAATCGGAAAGAGAGAGAGAAACCGTTCTATGTTTTCCGCTTGCTCTGGAGGAGCAGACGGCGTAGAGAAGGTCAGTGGATCTCCACAAATTCTAAATTGGGCAAACGTAAAATATTCACTAAGGAATGGAGAAACAGCGTACAACCAAGTGCGCCAAAAATGGATAGGACTGACGGCGGTATTTACGAAGTGCATCCTAACATATTAGAGAGGAAAGGAGGAAGGCGGGTTGCGAGCGAAAAACGGGCAAAGAAAGGTTGTATCATGGATCCAATTTTACGAAAAAAAAAAAAAAAAAAAAAAGGAGAATATTTACAATAGACTTTGCAGACTAAGCTAAAACTTGCCGGATATCTACGATAGCTACGGTCAACGATTGAAGCGAGCCTACAGCTTTTACAGATCCCATATGTACGATTGTGAACGTGTTCGTTGTTCTATTAATCTCCCACAAACTCAAGTAGCACAAGTGGTCATTGTGCTAATAATGATAATGTCAAACATGATCACCAGCATTCGCTACCCGTGCTCAGAGATGATAGTCTACTACCGGGCACGCTATTCGGGTTTAAAACATCAAGTTCAAAGCCCGAAGATGTTCCGGCGTAAATAAGACCCCTGCAAAGTTCCACTGTTTCTGTTCTAAGGGCTCTGCCGTTATAGACGGTCTTTGCTAAAGGTTAATTATGATAATCGAACCAGCAAAAAAGCATCAAGCATATACGAGCCAATTCCATACCTATAATAATGTCACTCCGTGCTACAGTTAACGACATGGCTAATACTTCTAATATTTTTTGCTAGCGAACGTCAACAAGGTAAGCGGCAGTATCACTTCGGGTTTGCATGTCAGCACAGTGCTGTATTGACGTCGACGTTCACAAAGGAACCAACGAGTAAAGTCGGACGAAGCCCACAAAACTCGCCATAGTGGCGCTAATCCCTGGTAACAAATGGAAGCACTTCACTATTTCGCGGATGCCTGGCGGGGTCCAGTGAAGAAGCTTTTGCATGAACGGCTGGCCAGCGAGCCTCGCCGTAAACCTCCACGACGTCGTCGCCGCCGCCGCCGCCGCCGTTGCCGGGGTCAAGCTTGCCTCTGCGAAAAGCTTGGTGGATAGACTCAAGTAACCCATAGCAATCAAGGCAGGTGTCTTTTGCTTCGCTCACCACTTCCCATTGGCGCTAAGACCTCCTGTGCTGCAAATGAACCCCTTGCGAAAGTCCTGTGCTGAGCCACGCCTATAACACTACACAAGCGGGGGTATTCCAGGAGCAGGGAAAGAGGCTTAGACCTACCGTTGAACTTCGTCCGAACCCCCCTTCCCCTCCCCCCCCCCCAGAACGGTATCAAAAGCTCTCTTTTAGTACCAGTTGGATTTTGATAAGGTTATCGGGGTATAACAAGCAATTTTTCATATAATTTTATGTGGTTAACATCTTACGTCGAGTAGAATTGCTAGATCAGTCCCCGAAAAAAATCTGCTCTATACGATATTCACGGTGCGATAATATTCTGTACTAGCATGCATAGGCGCTAATTTCTTCTCAGCTTCTGTTTTTCATTACTGCAGTTGTAGGCAATCGACCTTTCTACCGGAACGATCATTCTAATCTGAAACGGACATTCTTATATACTATTCATTGGTGAGCGGGTATTTTTAGCTAGTAATAATAACAAAATGGTTTGGCTCGACGCTTATCAGTGTCGCCATGATGCACTTCGGTAGCTTTTCAGATATCGCGTCATGTCGGCTTTATGAGTTGGTGGTTCGTTTTAATCAAAACTAGAGCGGCCCTAGTGGCACCTCTCGGTATGAAAAACATCGTTCTCGCTTTATTGTCGCACAAGCTGCCGTCCTGTGTTGTTCTAAATCGGCTCAAAATAGCCCTACCAGTTCTTTCCGTGGGCGCCAATAGCAACTGTAATAACAAAGAACGGAGTCGTCTGCCTTCTAAGCGGCTAAGTGAAATCCAGCGTGATGGTACCGCTGCTACTGTAAACAAGGAAGCACAAGCATTTTGACCGCTTACCCGTCTCGGCCGGTGAGTGGCGCCCTTGGGAGCGGCTATAGACCCGCTGCTCAAACGGGTCCCAAGTTAGCCGTAACGAAGTTCTTTTTCATTGTTGAAACTCAACTGTTTAGTTCCGACAGTATACACTTTTGTGAGTCGCCCTGCCCTTTCACGTGACCTTTTTTTGAAAGATACTTTTATCATCTGGCCGGGACGTTTCGAAACATGGACCTGGCTGAAGTTAGGACTTCCTGGTGGCTATCCGTTTTGGGTACTTTCACATTTATTCTACGGTAAACACAGCGACGGAGAATAAAGTCAAGGATAACTTTCGACTTGTGATAATTAATTGAAATTACCGTTAAATTAGATCAGTCGTTCAGAGCCCTCACCTACAAAGCTTTATATATAGCAAGTCAACAATGGACTGTCTTTGCTTGCGCTCAACATAAATTTGGTATTTCGTTTCAAATAAGGACCTTTGGCGCTGCTGATTAGGCCGAGATACGTAGTTTGGTTCAACGGAATGAATTTATGCTGATCATTTGTTTCCGTTACCCTTATATACTCTATAGGAAACATACAGAGCATGAGAAATGGCCTGGCAACATCGTTGCTTCGAAGATACTTCACTGGCAAGACGAAAACAAGCGTACTCCATGATGTCGTTAATAGCTCTGGCTGTTCGGCAAAGGTCGTCTAATTCCTTCGTGCTGCCATACGTATCACATGAGCTGACCAGTCAGTCGTAGGAGATTGTTTTTTCAATGCGTCTTGGAACACACTCGTGCTTTACGACACAGCGTATCACATTTGCTATAGCACTATAGCAGAGGCTTTTCCTTTCTACAGTGCACTAGTTAGTTTCGTTTCAATCTAAGGTCCAGCAGACGACGCAGGTCGAGTCGCGCTTGCCTTCCTTGACCCACCCAGTAAGAGAATGCCTGTGTTCGTGTTGGGCATTAGTTCATTAGAGCTTGTGGAACACTTGTTATGCCGCCGCCTTCATCGTGGATACGACTAGGGTAGACGTTTGGCATCAACGTAGTTGCTTCATCAACATTAACCCGAATAGTACTAATGATTATTATTAACAACATCTTGCTTACAACTCCAAGGTACAATTAACATACTGTTGAGAAGATGGGAGGAACCAAACACGCCAGCGCAGGGCGGGCGGGAACAGGCTCTCCAAATACAGCGAACTGGTTGGGGAAGGAACTTGACGAGAAATACTGACATCCGTTCTCCATATATCTCCGTCGTTCTCCCTTATACTCCCTCCATATCTCAAGACGTCTCTGGAGAATAACTAGCACATTGAAACTTCGTTTTAATAGCTACTTGCTATTTCAACTGGTCGAAAAGGTTTAGTATGATTCGTAGTTCTCGCTCTAATCATAGAACGAATCTGACCAAAGTTTTTAGATCTGCCGACGGGACCTTGCTGTCCTGCTCTATTTTTTGGCGACGAGATCGATCGATCTCCAATCGTTCGCCAGTTCATACTCCTCATGCGAATGTCCGACTGAATGAGGCACTCGTGCTACTGCTGTGACCGTTGTTTCGCTCAAACTTGTACGCGCTCCATGAAGTTTATTCTGGCCAGCTTCATACTCATGTGAATATGAAGCTGGCTTGAATAAAAACACATAGCATGGGAAGAGGCAGTGATCACATCGTCGTTGCCTAGTAATCGTTCGGTTTCGGATGTGTAAAATTTCGTCTAGTTGTCCTATCTAGAAACAGGTACCACTAAGCCTGTCCGGAGATACGATTTCCGCAAATGCAAAGGCGAGACATAGGCGATGCGATGTTTACTATGCGTCTTACCTTTTTAGATTGACGCAGTTGCTTTTCCTGTATCAAACATATTTGTTTGTTGGAAAGCTAATATCTCTTTTCTTGAGGATGCGTGGTCTGTAGCAATTTGCTGATTGCGTTGGGTACCTCATCAGTGTTTGGGTACAACTATCGAACAGATTCAGCTTTATCCAAGTGGAACAGATGTAGACATATTGCCCTGCAACTTAGACGGTCAGGGGTTTTTCGTCTGTCCTTCCCGCCATTTGTTTGTCTGTTCCACAGGGCTGTGAAAACAGTGAGCAAGCAAACGTCTATTGGTAATCATCGTCGCCGTCGTCGTATAAATATCTGACGAATATAGCCAGCCAGCCCCTGCGGCTGCTCGTCCGTAGTTTAACATTTCCCTCGAGAAGCAATAAAATACGTCATAAAAACAGCTTCATGTCATCGCTTTATGCCCTCACTGTACCGATAGGTTGCAATGTGGGCATTTGAACGAGCCCTCAAACGGGCCCGATTTTAGATGGGGGCTGGAGAGCGTCCCAGAAAACCGCTGGCGTATATTAAAAACCTACTATATCTTTATCTTTACCAGATGGAATAACTCAGTTGTGAAAATCCGTATAAACAAGTAAAGTAGAAAAAGAACATTTCTGCGAAATGAGCTATAACGGCTGCATTTAGAACGAAACAATGAGGTATCGAGTCATCTATACAAACTTTCACGTAACATATGTGAGTGTATATGAACACCTTCCATATTTCAACATTTCAGCTGCACAAATACTAGATCGGCATCTAAAATAACCTCCTATAGACTATATATTTTTATATTTCTTACATTTACTTCGATTGACTATGACTCAGCGCGCGCACGCGCACGCGCACGCGCCTGTGTCATGGCCATTGTAGTAGTGGAATCGAAAACGACTCTCGGAGACAGCCGGAGGTTGTGAGGCACTCCAGGCTGAGAGCCGGCCTAAAGAAAAAAGTGTGTACTTGTCAGACTTATCATGTCTAGGCACATAGAGTGCTTATTACAGTGCACCTATAGGCAACGAGCCGGCAAACTGTTGACTTTTTGAAGAGGATACAACACGCACACAAAGTTTGCTGTCCGCTGGGCCGTAAGCACCAGCTGGGATTGGACACTGCGTGACTCCACAGTAGAATTTGAAGGTGTATTTAGCCATTGTCACAGTTGTTGATGCTCTCGCCAGCTGTAGGCTCGGTGCTTTTCCGAGCTTCACCGATCAAATGAAGTTCGGGTGTTAGACCGCTGCTGTCGTAGCATGGATAAGGCACGAAGTTTGGATTCGAGCAACGTTCAGTAATTTTTCGAATTGTCTGAGATAATAATATCGGCACGCTCTTCGTAGCTCTGATATCATAGGGCATGAATATTCTCACACTGTTCACTTATGATAAAACGGAGATAATTACGCGCCTTAGGCCGTTAGCGGGAAATTGATTCTGAGGAGTTTCAGCCTTCAGGCATGCAAAAAATAGATAACAAAGCATCTAGGATTCGATATAGATTGCTGGACGCAACGTAGCTCGGTTGCGTGACTGCGATTCATTTATAGATGTAAAAATAGAAATTGTTTCTAGTAAAAATCCACATTCAAAGAGCTTCATAGAATCTGTCATTGACGCGCAGTGGACAAGCAAACTGGCGCCGTGAATAACATGTCGCTATGTTCACAAAACAGGATTATCAATTTGAGTTTCCAATCCAAACATTCCGCTTAAACGATTTTTGCCCTGTGCGAGCGATGTACACGACTCCCTCAAGGTCTGTAAATCTGGCCAGCTGATCATACGAAGTCGGAGCTCCCACGGGATTTTCAAGATCAGTAAGTCGGGTCAAGCTGAAAGCTATGCCGACTTGTTTTTATTAAACCCATGTCGGCGTGTTGCGGGTCAGGTACGCGGCATTACCGGAAGTATACGTATGATCTTCTGCTTACGAGATTATAAGCCTTACCGAATCTGCTGGCGCAACATCTATTATTTTCTTGTAATCTGCGCAAAGGCATTTTTTTTTTAAATTTTTGAAAAATATCGCATTTTACCGGCTTTTGTTGCCACATAGATAATCGTATTTGACATGCATACAAATGCTATATTAAAACGATGCTGAGCGTCAACATAGAAAACATTCTGTATGCGTAGTATCGACGCTAAAGTAGCAAATTACACAATACCGAGCTGACTGGTTTAGAATGTTCCAAATACAAGGTCTACCTTTACATTGGTATAGAGTTAGTATTATAAAGGTCATATCCGAAATTGGTTTGCTCGACATTTTACGAGTTTGACGATAAGCGAGGACTTACAATCAGAGCTTGTGAATTGTGAGCGACTATAGAGGTACGCTCCCTTTCAAACGAGTCCGTTCCGCTCCCTTCTAAATATACCATGGATGGCTGCGGATGCTCCTAGACTATGCCTAGATAAATTCAACTCGGGAGTAGCTCGTGCAGCTGGCCGAAGTCGTGCCGTTAAAATAGAAACACGGGATCGACAAAAATGTTCGGACAAAATTTCAATCGCGTAAATACTGAACATACTCTGTGTTATAGTTTAATGACGATTCCAAGCTCATGCGACGAAGCGCGTCGACTACGGCCCATTGGAGACGGAGTTCCGTGAAGGATGATTTTGAGACATTATGCTGACGTAGTGAGAGCAGCCAAACTAGGCTGGCTGGGTCAAATGAATTTACGATAGCTTCGACGGTGCGCAGGTCTGAAAACAGGAGTGACGTGTCCTTAGATCAGTTACTGTGACATTTATTATACTTAGTACCCAGCTGAAATTTGCGAATTTCAACAAAGAAGATTTCGAAGCCCAACGAAGAACACTAGAGGCTAAGTTTGATTAGCGTATTAAATTATCTAAAACACAGTTTTAGCACTTTCCGATAAAATTCTACCGTCCAAACCCGACGAAACTTATTCTAATCGGTAGAAAAGTATTCCGTATATCGAGCCCACCTATATATTATCTCACTATTAAAAGTGATTCTTGTTAAAATCTACCTGTACAACTAACTCGTCCCAAAGGGCTGGGTCTAGGCTAGTAAAAGACATCACACAGCTTTATTCTATGCTATCGTCCGCACGCGAGGACGCTTGCTAGGCCGAAAAAGTGTATAGCGATCACCTGGAAGTCCCTGGTCATACTATATACAGCTATAATTACTACTAGTTTAGCGGCTGCTTTTTCTTAAGCAGGCTCATTTGCCTTTTTTTTTTTTTGCTCGGCTATATGATGCTTTTTCGTGCAACATACCATTTAACCCTGGAGTCGAAATATACGCATGAATAGGCCTAACTTCAGCATCATCTTGCTCCTTGTGTCTCGCTTACCGTACCAATGTACATTTGAACCAAGTCATTGATTTCGAATGTATGATTTGCAATAGCGATGGGCAAGTGGTAGGGGAACGTCGACCCTTAAAAATGCTCGGTTACAATGAATCTTGTGGAGGGGCTTTTGACAATATCAACGCGATGACCAGGATCAAAAAATGAATAGGTTCAGTTTACTTTGATATATGGATTGCGAAGTATAACGTTTTCCATCTTGAACCGACGCGTCACCACTTATTCCCGCGTTGACAAAGCATCAAGTTCCGACACAGTCATAAGTTAGTTATCTAATCACAAACACTTTATTTATTCTTCACAAAGCTAGCTATCGCCAATTATCTGTTGAACATCTTTGTACTGCTATAAAAACCTATTGTATTTAATAGGCAAAATACGCTCAGTATAAATACAACTTGAATTGAATAAAACTTGAACCACTTCCGATAAGTAGCATCGATACATACGCAATATTTGTATTGCTGAACAACCACAAGGCTTTATACTACAACTTTAAAGTTCCATATTCATCCGTACATCTCTGCGTCTTTGTGTTCCCCTTCGCTCGTATCGCTTCGATAGCGCTCTGTAAATTGGGATACATCCATTTGTTAGTCGTTTCATCCCGTTCGTATTTGTCTGTGAGTCTCCTGGATATTGGTATATTATTATTATTATATTGATATGAGGGCCCGGAGCAGTAACTCTTGTGAGGTACTATCGAAGCGCAGTGCCTTATGGCGGGCATCATGCCTCCGGCGAATTCGCCGCCGACGATCAGTGAACAACCTTTGCGCCGTTCCACACAGTACTATACTTCCTTTTTTTTTTAATATCGCGATTGGTTTCTGTAATACTTGCGTATACACACACTAACTACTCACTGCTAGTGCTCCGAAGCGAGGAAAGCCGGAATTCGCGATCAACTAGGGTGCCGTCGTTTTTCAAGGTCGATGCATACTTTTGGTCAAACAGATACCAGTGTTACTATAGATGCCTCCCTGAAAAGGCTAACTTACCGTAATGCTATATATATTCTGTACTCTGTGACAAGACTTCAGTTACTCTGCCAGGTCTTCGGTAAGGGGTTTATCAACCAATTTGTCGCTCTAAGAGACTTCAAGTAGCAATCTAATGATTCTAGATTAAATGCATATAAGCCGGACAACACAGGTTTTTTAATGAAAAGATCTCACTCTGTTACTGGCTGAGTTTATTTTTTATGCAGCAACGCTCGAGTGATGCTCATGATGATGACAATTACGATTATCAGAGACAACTAGTCATTTTACTAGGGGACAAACGATCGTGCTTAATAAGCGTGTTCGTATACGATCTTCTACAGAAGAACATTGTGATTGATTATCAGAAGCTGCTTTACTTAATGATCTTATAAACTATATTAGCGAGAGTAACTACACTTATTGGTGTATGTTAAACGTGCGCGTCTTCATTATTTCTAGATTGAAACCAGCGTGCTGGAAATTTTTTATTGTTTGTACTACCACTGGCGGCGTACCGTGTTCTACCACGGTAGAATACGGTACGCCGCCAGTTTCCCTTTTTAAGACATGAAACTAGAAATCACACAAATTCAAATTTGTAGCATAAGGCTATTGTTCGATCTGAGCTGAGAAATTCAAAAGATGTGGCATATTCGATTGATCAAACAATGTCTAATGACAACGAATGCCGCTGATACCTGTTACGAAGAAACGTGTCAGCTCGCGCACGGCGGTGTCATCGAAATTGCTGATTTTCCTGTTTGACATCTGGTCCTGCTCTGGTGGACAGCACAGATTCGCAATCAGGCAACACAATCGTGCCTATGGCAACGGTGCCCTTTAA